TTATAAATTTTATAAAATTTTATATATGAAATTTAAAAAAAAAAAGCCGGCCGGCCGGGTCTATTTAAAAGTTTCATATTATGAAAACCAAGTAATTAAATTTGTATGGCCTAATATTCACATGTAGAAGAATTTAACTAAAAAACTTGTTCATATTTTATTATTACAGGAATGAGTTGATAAGCTGAGTAAAATGAGAAGTAGTAACAGCTAGCTAAGAATAGAAAGGTATTTAAAAAACTATTTGTTCACTATTGTACTATCTGTCTAACAGTTTAGAGGCTTAGTAATTTTTCATAAAGTTATAAAGATTACTTATTACTTAATAGCTATAAATAATATAGTTATTATTTAGTTAATAGATATAAGCTAGGCTTTATTTGTATAAATATTGTAAGTATATTTGCATCTGATCTATAGAAGCATTGTCAGAATAAAACCTGTAAGAACTTCAAGTTTATATAAAAAAATTAATATTATATAATTTAAAGAAAATTATATGATTAAAATCTTTGATAAATCTGATCATTTAATGGTTTTAGTTTTGCAATTAAATTCAAATTTAGAAATAGATTAAATAATTTAATCAAACCTAGATTTATTGCTAATTAAAAGCCAATATTGGTAAGTAATACTCAAAATTCTTGAATTATTTAATAAATTAGAATAGATTCGAAATCTGTAATAAAGTAAATTTTAATATAAATAAAATGAATTAATATATTACTGCCAAAGAATACAAAATTAATTTTTCACATTTTTATAGTAAAAAAATATTTAATAATAATGAAGATATTGTTGCTTATTCTTCAAGCTCTGATAAAAAACTTAAAAAACAAAAATTGTTCAATACATACACATCTAGCTTAGAATTATCTCAAACTGAATATGATAATCCAGCTGATAATGATAACAATAATATATCCGATGAGTACTATAACTTGGCTAATATCGATAATGATACTGTAACTGATACAAATAATAATCTGATCCATGAAGAATCTTCAATTTTACCAAATAAATCTAATAATATATCAAATTTACCAAATTTAAAAAAAATAAAATTAGTTTCTATTGTCAAATATTCAGAACGAAGTTGGATTTGGTCATATTATCAGCGCTATGAACCTGTACTACTTTATAGAACTATTGTAAGTTGCCTTGTTGAAGTAAATAAAAATTATAAAAGTGAATTATGTAGACATATTATAAGGTTAGTAGATAGTTTAACAGGAAATTATATTGGGCACTTGGCAACACGGCATAGTATTACTGAAAGTTCTTATAAAGAAAAAACAAAAAAACTACTATCTTCACAACTTCAAATTAGCCAAATGATTTATAATAATCCTGAGTGTAAGCTGCGAAAAGATCAAAAATTTGTTGAACTTTTAATTAAAGATTAGCAACCAATAAGTATTCGAAATGATAAAGGCCTCAAAGATTTTATTGCAGAATTTGATCTATCATACAAATTTCCAAGTGAAAGATATTGTTGACAATTGCTTTCTGAAGTATACGAAAATACTAAGCAATCTTTATTAAGTATATTTGAAAAAAATATTATATCATGCTCTTTAACCTGTGATTTATGGACTGAACGCAATAGATTAGGGTATCTGGGTATTACTTGTTCTTATCTTGATAATAATTTTCAATTGCAAGAAAACATACTTTCAATTCAATATCTTCTTTATCTGCATGTTGGCAAGGTTATTGCTAAAACTTTAAACTGCATTATCAATAAATGGAATTTTGATGATAAAGTATTTACAATTACTACTGTTACAGAGTAGTAGCCTTCTTAATTTACTCTATAACGATGATACAGCACAGGGAATCCTTTCGTAGGTATATGCGGTGTCCAAGAGGTAAGTATAGCTTCTTTTCTCTTTAAGAAACTA